TATAAATGACAGCCAGGGCGCAAACGTGCACCCGTCGATCTGCCCGCATGTATATAGGCATATTTAATGCATGACAGTCCTTTGAATTGGAGATGTGAAAACCCTGGTGAGCTGTCGCCTTAGCAGAGTGGACGTGAGTTTGTATTTATGCCCACAGCGCTGAACAGGAGCCTTATATTTGGGGAAATATGTCTAGATCGATGGAATATGTGACACGCTGTCGCTGCCTGTCATATTTTGTGACGGAACGTCAAGGTGAGACGGGACGCGAAAAAGGCGAAACGGAACGCGAAATGTATATCGGAACACGGAACGGAACGCGGCACGCGGAACATTCCAATTCACGATCTTACTGCAATCTAGAGGTAATCTTTCAGCCACCGGCAGCGCCATACAGTACGCTCGGATAGAGTCGTCTTCCATGCTAGCGAAGCACGTAGGCGAGGGTCAGGCGTCAGGTACGATAGGAAGGAATATCCTGAAACGGCCTTGCTTCGCGACGAGCCATGAGAAGAGCATCAGAGAGGAGGTCCACCGTCAACCCAGAATCACGGGGAGTGGTGCACAGGAGACGGTATCATACTGTGCATAGCGTGATAGTCTCAATGCTGGCACGTATGTATGCCTCTGTCTTCGCCGACTGAGTTGCGCGAACTCTCGTGGTAGTGAACAAAGCGTTGAGGCGCAGCGTGCAACGGCTATCAAAGGTTAAACGCTCAACGCCGTATACAGTGTCTTGTAAGAGCAAACTTCTGTCGCCGGAATAGCTCAGCTGGGAGAGCAACAGACTGAAGTTCTGGAGGTCCCGTGTTCAATCCACGGTTCTGGCATTAATTTTGCCCCCATAGCTCCGTAGTTTTCATTAGGCAAGCACTTGGTAATCGTCCACGATATAGGTGCTCACATTTTGATGCCAGTACTACTACTCTCCTGCAGTACAGAGATCACTCGAAGATACGTATGGAACATCGTGAGAAATACGACCATCACTCATTCCCCCGCGCGTTTGCGCGCTTCTGTTCGCGCTTTTGTTGCTGACTGCCACCGTCATGTTCGACACTGAACAGATTTCAACAACACGGGAATCATTGATCCACTCTCTCTAACTACTATGGCTGTGAACGAACATGGCGGGTTGTGAATACCGACGCGGCTCTCTACCCGGGATCACAGGCTTGGACGGCTCTACTCCCGTTTGCTGGGTACTGTTGCGGAGCCTTCATAGGCCATAGCACTAGTTAACTCCGATAGTACCGCCACATCGCACAGTCATCTGCTTTTCCATATTGCGACAACTGAATAGTGAGAGCACCTATGCTTGCGTGCGCAAGCCATCCCAAAGGCTAGAGCATGATACAGCGAGGCTATAGCAGTAGCGCATGGGTGGTGCTGATCTCTTAAAAAGTGAGAGTTTTTCGCTCGCACCACACGTACTCCCCGAGTCAAATCGAGCTTTACCCTCAACCTCTACTCGGGATGCAGAATCTCTTTAGCCGCCAGCACGAGTGAGTCCTACCCTGGTCAGCCGATATGTGGTTACTGATACATATCCTGAAGCATATACCCTTTGATCGATCCTTCTTCACACTTCATCTCGCAGACCTACGCGTCCAAGGTTGTCCTCGTCACCGGTGGTGGGACGGGGATTGGCGCGCATACAGCCCTTTACTACGTGAAGGCCGGTGCGCGTGTCGCTTTGGTCGGTCGGCGTGTTGAGCGCCTCGAAGAGCGCAAAAGCATCATCGAGAAGGAGGTTCCGGGAGCTCAAGTGCTGATAGTCGCTGGCGATATTTCAGAGCCCGAGGTTGGAAAGAGCATCGTGACTCAGGCGGTGAATAGGTGGGGTAGAATCGACGTGGTCATAGCGAATTCGGCTCTCGGGATGGGAGGTGCAGATAGTTCGTCCCGATTATTCACTTCCATATGGGCTCAGGATCCCAGCTGACATTCGACCTTATAGGACTTGGTACCAAAGACCCAGCTGCCTGGTGGTACACTCAAGAAGTCATTATCCGTGGAACCCTGAACATCATACAGTGCGTACTAGTCTAACTTACCTGATCACCATCAATTCACAGATGTTGTAGCCCGGCTCTTCCGGAGCTCGTCAAAACGAAGGGCCATATCATTGTAACGACTTCAGGCGCGGCGCACATGCGGTTACCTCTGACATCAGACTACATCGTAAGCATCAATTTTTTTGTCATCCCCTTCCTTCTCAATAAATGCCTTCCAGGTCAGTAAATATGCGATAGGTCGGTTTGCTGAGATTCTTGCCCTCGGTCAGTGCGCTGTATAAAACATGTTACGTTTCATGATGGCTGACGCTTTTCTCACTGCTAGACTACCCGGAGTTGTCAGTCTACATCTTCAACCCTGGTGCCATAGCCACCCCCGGTGCTCTTGAGGCCCAAGCCCAGATTGAAATCAAAGGAACCATACAGATGCCAGATTCGATCGACCTCCCCGCCGCAACATGTTTGTGGCTCACCGACCATAACAATCTTGATGCGAAGTTCCTGAGCGGCCGGTATGTATCCATGATGCTGCATGACAATTTTCGATGGGCTGACAGCTCTCGCAGGTATGTAGAGGCATCGTGGGATCTGAACGAGGTACTTGCCAAGAAGGAGGAGATTGTACGCGACGATTTGTTGGTCACGAAGCTCGCGGGTCCAGTCGAATCTACTTGACGTATGTACTCGCTCGTTATATGAGGCTCTCAAAGTGAGAATATGAACTGTTGTACAATTACCCTGCTAGACATCCAACTGGTCCTGTCCATCATACGTCCCAGCTTGTTCAGGCTGAGGAACGACCTTCATAGGCACTTTACACTAAGTATTACAGATCACCGCGCGCTACAAATACATCGCGGCCTTGTCAATTTACCCGTGCGCATTCTCATACACTCGATCCAACGAACACCGGCCCTCCTCCGGCTCCCACGGCCGACGTATTAGGCGCCGGCCAATCCGTTGGATAATCCGAGTTGAGCGGGCCGGGGATCGTGCCATATACATTCGTAGCGGGAATGGCGGCTCCCGATATGTTGTTGTTCACATATCCAGATGCGTCAGCGACGAGTGAGTAGACATTGCTCATGATTCTGTGAACTCCGGCGTCAGTATCCATGTTTGAGGAGGAACGGGGAATGGTGAAAGGATAGACGTACGGATCAGTGTCTCCTCGGCCTAATGATCCAAGGCCCCAGTTTGCCTGGACAGTGCTCATGGCGCTATAGTGCGTATAGTACGTCGTATCCACGCTGCCCTTCTTATTCTCCGGAACTGCACCTCCGAGCAGCACGGCGAAGACGTTGTTATTGATGTCGTAGTTTTCGTTCTCATCAAACGTGACGAGGATCAAGGTGCGATTATCGTTGAAGCGTGGGTCCGAGAGTAGAGGGTTTAGGAAGTAGGTGAGGAAAGAGGCTGCGAAGTCGATCGTGGTGTCGTGAGCATCGTTGACCATGTTCGGCGTGACAAACCTGGGTTGGGTTAGGGTTAGTGATTGATGGCAAGCGCGGGGCGAACGGGTTGAGATCCGGATAAGATCTACGCACATCCATTGCGGAAGAGCCGACGCATTGACATCCACCGCGAAATCATTGAAGTTCCGAACCCTGGCGGCGCGCTCGGGCACGTTCTTGACGGTGTCGTACAAGATCGGAGGGTTGTGTTTGCGCATGTAGTAGGCGTAGTCGGACGCGCCGGGTGTGATGTAGTTGGTCGATGAGAACCTAGTCTTGAGAGTCAGCATAGGGTAGAGTGAGATCGAGGGAAGGGGAAGAAGAGAACGTACGATGTGCCAGTGAACCCGTCGGTGGGCATATGCTCCATGTACGCCGCCCACGATACATTTCCGAGTTCAAGCAGATCGACCATGGTCCCAATACTACACCGTTAGTCAGCATTCAACACTTAGATTGATCAAAGGAGAGGGGGAGGGGGAGGGGGGTACGCACCTTGACGGTATATCGTGCGAACTGTCGTCTGCGAGTCCCCAGAAGCTTCCTCCGATGGTAGCCATGTAGTTCGGCTGACTGGGGTGCGTCGTTGAGTAGTAGCTCGTCATGAGGATGCCTTGGTCGGCCAAAGCGCGGAACTCTGCCTAGTATGGGCGGTTAGTCGTACTGACGGACGACAGGAAAGGTGGGAAGGACGGGAGAGTAAAGGGGCGAGAAGATGATGGCAATTGACGTACAGTCGAGTTAGCGGTGGCGAAATCCGTGTTCTCGAACCACACCTGTATGAACCTGTCGAAGACCAAGCCTGGCTTGACTGGTGCGATAGGAAGCGATCCGTTGGAAAAGCCGATGTAGTTGGTCGACTGTTCATAGGGACTAGCTGAGGGTGGACGGAAGGATTGAGCCTAGATAGAACGGTCTTAAAACCCACATCGTGGCAGAGTAGAGAAGTCGAGAGGGGGACATACCGTTGCAGCAGAGACCCATGAGGCTCGCAGGAGAGCGACTACGGCGAGGGTACGTAGTGACATAGTCGTGACTTTGATTGAGAGACCTATGGATTGAGGCTCGCTGGTGGGGAACGGTGTGTGCGGCGGGAAGAGGCCGGCAGCGCTCTATCGCTCGGAGATTTATACCAACAAGAGCTCTGGGATTTTATCGCGGACCATATGGGTATCAAGCCTAACGGAGTAGAGTAGAGAACGCGGCGGTCTATGTCACGCGCTCAGGGGTAAACATACGCTTTGAATAGCATATCGAGAGACGGCCATAGGTCCGTGAGATCCTGCGCTATCGGGAAGATCTGTAGCACATGATGATTTAGCGCTCATTTCTGCATGTAGAAGGAAATGGAGATGCTGTCAGGACTAGTAGTCCGACCCGAGGGGTCTGATGTTCCGAGAAGCAAGTCGTGTGCGCGCACAGGCTGTGCCGATGGTGATGGACCCCCTACTCAAACCCGTTATCTTTGTGATCTTCCGCGTCATGGGAAACGAATAAACTCTAGAAATACAACTGGAGTAGTAAGTGTACAACATTTCAGGTTATTAATCGGACAATGCAGAGCCCTAGTCTCCGAACTTGAACACTACAAAGAAACGTCAGTGTCCAGTGAGACGACAAGGTCAAGCGCCAACAAACGTACCACAAGCACCCGCACTGGGCTTCGTAGCAAACACAACCTCCGACAGCGCCTCGCCCTCCAGATCCTTATACGCCGGATAATGCTCCTTGAGTGCCTTGATGAAGGATTCGACATTCTGCTCATCCACAAGCGACACCGTGCACCCTCCCCAGCCAGCGCCCGTCAACCTCGATCCATACGCGCCCGCATCGATCGCGATCTTGCATAACTGATCCAGCTCCGGGCAAGCGCATTCGTAGAGCTTGCTGCAGCTCTCCATTGACGCGTTCATGAGGGACCCGAGCTCTTGAAGGACAGTGGAGGATGTGCCGTGAACGTCGGAAGAGGAACGGGCGCAAACGTCGCGGAACTCGAGGACGCGAAGGGCTTCGGAGAAGACGTGTACAGCGCGCTTGTAGAGCTGGAAGTACGTCGCTTCGACTAGGACATGGTCAGTTTACAGTCAGACATGAGCGCGATGAAAAGCACACACCATCAATCCAGCTGAGGAAGATCTCATGGAAATCTTCAGCAGACAGGCCAGTCCACTCGACCATCGTCTCCTTGGTCACGCCGAGTTGCTCGCCGGCGTTTGCTGGTTTGAGCACCTCTGCCTTCTCGATAGCGAGCTTGAGCGCTGCACGCAGCTTATCATCGTCGTCACCGGGGACCCACCCCGCCTCGGGCTCACCGCCCAGTCTTCCCACGACCTCCCTCAGCGTCGGCCTCTCCTTGGCACTCTTCAGTTTCAACCCAAGCTTCTCGCACAACACCCGTGCGCCGACGAATGTCTCCACCACACGTAGGTTGTATCGTGTCCGCGCGGTTGCGGCTTTCTCCGACGTTACAAGGGAGTTGGCGATGACGAACGTCGCGCGCTTGCCCTCTCCCTCGCCAAAACCAGATCCAGGTAGACGCACGGGAATCGCATTTAGAGCCGGGAAAAAGGAAACGTAGATGGCCGATGCGCTAGTACCGATAACAGAAGCGGACTGGTCGAGTCCGCCACTGTTCACCCCTACTCTTTTCCCACAGTATCAGGCGATGTAAACAATAGAAAAGGGAGCGGCACTGCCGAACACTCACCTGCGCTCGTTTTCCACGGCCATCGTCACAAGCCTGCTCTTCGTCAATCCTTCCAGTAGGTTGTTAGTTGCTAGGAAAGCAAGCGTGGATGAGACTACCATCGCGGCGGATGATGATAGTCCAGAACCGGCTGGAACTGTGCCAGTGACGAGCAGATCGACCGGTACAGGCTCGGTGGTCGAGGACGCGAAGAAGTTGTTCAACACTCCGTAGTAGCCCGCTTTGACATAGCTCTCCCATCTCAGAGCCTTCTGGTCAATCTCCAGATGCCACTTTTCGCCGGAGCGCGAGGGAGCGAATGTGGCGGGGGTGTACTTGGGTGCGCCGTTCTGGGCGTTTACTTCGCCTACAGAGCCAGTCCGAGGGGCGCAGGCAATCAAGATGTCGCGTTCGACGGCAGCGGGGAGGCAGCCAAAGAGCGCGTAGTCAATGTGCTCTCCAATCAGACTGTGCGAACGCTGGTGAGCCATGAAATGTCATTGAGCCAAGGTTCACTTACTTGACACGACCAGGCGCGCGCACAATGTACGCAGGTTTCTTGCCAAAACGCTTCTGAAAGTCCTCGGCGAGTGCATTCCACCGTACACTGTATTTAGACCATCATCAAGATACACTCTGTCTTCAGGTATACAATATCAGACCCACGCGTGATTAGCCGTCGTACCCAGGTCCTCGAAGACCTTGTTCAGTTCGGTGTAGATCGGCACAGGTAGTTCTGCAGCCATAGTGGTCGATGTTCAAGAAGAAGACGCGGTTGAGGAGAGATCGATGGTCGGGAGATGTCGAGTTTTTGTACGCATGATCATGACGAAGGAAAAGTCGAGAGCAGAAGGGAGCATGTGGCGCGCAGAGGGAAATCACTGCTGCCGCCCGGTCTCATCGGTCCGAAGCGGGGCCGCGGATGGCCCCGGAGGGGCCCCGCACGTCGAGGGCATCGAGACATGCACTCTGGATTCGGACCACCACCACCCCCATGGCCGGAACTACGCTTTGGAGGAAAACGGCCTCACGAATCTTGTCGCTGGCTTGCTAGTTCCTCATATCCGTACTCTCGCACCTTCCCCACCTAGACACAACGAACAACTACTCATCCAAATTTCTGCGTCGATTTGGTTTGATACCCTTCTGTCTTGACGACTTTCCCGCTGGCAATCCAGAAAGCGGACAGTCTATGCCGTCATCGCATCGTTCGTCCGGGAACCTTACTCGCCTTACATCTAGCTGGATGTGGTCTGGCGTCTGCCAGTTTACTAGCTATGAACGGATCGGTCAACCTTCGCTATGGTGATGCGCTACAAGCCCCATATGCTACCATCGGACCGAACCATCGAGTGTCCTGGGGGACATTGAGCTTGCCATACGGTCGATGTTCTGAGATGTACTAGGCGCCACTCGAGAAACGCATGGGACGGCCGGGGGGCACTACATAGCGGTCACGACAGCCCCATGACCCCTCTGCCCAAACCCAACCCGACCAGCTCAACCCGTGTTACCGTAAGGCAGCTATATCTCTCAGGGTGCGTCTCCTGCTCTCGCGTCAATCCATGATCAAGGTATACTGATGAGGTCCTCCGTGCAGTCCCGTTGGCGCCCGCCGCTCCGATATCCCCCAAGCAGCGGCTGTACTCGCCCAATGCGCCTCCCAGCCTTCTTCCTCGTGCGCGGGAAGGAGAAGTGGCGAACCTCTTCGGCCGACACCTTTCAGAATCTGCTCAGCAATACGCCATGCAAGCCGCGACCGTTCACCGCCCCCGACTATTGGCACCGACTCAGGCTCAAGTGCAAGCTGGTAGGCACTTTCTGTACTGGTCGTCGCGCTATACTTCGGCGTGCTTTCCGTCGGCGGCTCCTCATCGAGGGTAGCCGGTAGAGGTTTCGGTTTTTGAATCAAGCAGTGCGAGTAGTAGTTAATCTTCCTGTTATCTGAACACTATCCCTAATAATATATCCATGCTCACATTCGCCCCGCTATCGATATACGTGCATCATAGCTACTCGTTTATAAGCGATACCCCACCAGCCTGTGATACGGAACCGCATTGCGAAATGCAAGAACCTAGTCTAAGCTGTGCTCTGTCGTCGGATTTTGTTCCTTACTCTTTCGGGGACCATGGAGACGTGGATTGCCACCGGGGAAGCACGATGGGCATAGAATACATATAGTATATCATATACGACGAGCGATGGCGACAAAACTCGGCTTCGGTATTCGGCCCGATGTGCCGATAATGACATACTCCTCCCCAAGGGGGACCCGTTCCGGGAATCCCGGCAGCAAACCCTCGCGGGTCTCGGGAAGTGCCGAGCACTTGGTGATGGCCGCTGGCACACTCGACGCGGCAG